AGGAAAGAATGGGCGAAATTTTGAAGCCAACATTTTCACTCAACTTCTGCTGTACTTCTACAAATGTACCAGAAGGCTTAATTTATACGCAAAAATTTGGGATTCAAATCAGAATAACAAATCAAATCCCAACTAAAATATGATTCCTTTTTCAAATTATGGTTGGAAATTTGATTGGATTCTTAATTTAAATTTGACCCAAATCAAATCCCAACTCAAATATGATTMCTTTTTCAAATAATTGTTGGAAATTTGATTGGATTCTTAAGTTGACTCAAATCAAGTCCCAACTCAGGATTCCTATTCAAATTCGAAATTGAAATCTGGTGGGATTTTAACTCAACTCCCAGTAGGATTTTTTTTTTCAAATTCAAATTCAAAATTTGATTGGATATCAAATTTAAATCCTTTTCAAATTCATCCAAAATTTGAATTATATTCCAACTTTTAAATTACGTTGGATAAATTTCTTGTTTTCAAATTTGATCCAAAATTCAAATTTGAACTATAAATCCAGCGTTTAATTTAAAGTTGGATAAATTCCAAAATTTTGAATTCATCGCAAATTTAAATTTGAGTTATATTCCGACTTTTAAATTGGGTTGGATAAATTCCATATTTTCAAATTTGATCCAAAAATTCAAATTTGAACCATAAATCCAGCGTTTAATTTAAAGTTGGATAAATTCAAAAAAAAATTTTAATTCATCCCAAATTTGAATTCAAATTATATTCCGACTTTTAAATTGGGTTGGATAAATTCCATATTTTCAAATTTGATCCAAAAATTCGAATTTGAACCATGAATCCAGCGTTTAATTTAAAGTTGGATAAATTCAAAAAATTTGAATTCATCTCAAATTTGAATTCAAATTATATTCCGACTTTTAAATTGGGTTAGATAAATCCCATATTTTCAGATTTGATCCAAAATTTGAATTATATTCCAACTTTTAAATTACGTTCGATAAATTTCATGTGTTCAAATTTGATCCAAAATTCAAATTTGAACCATAAATCCAGCGTTTAATTTAAAGTTGGATAAATTCAAAAATTTTGAATTCATCTCAAATTTGAATTTGAATTATATTCCAACTTTTAAATTGGGTTCGATAAATTCCATGTTTTCAAATTTGATCCAAAATTTAAATTTGAACTATAAATACAGCGTTCAATTTAAAGTTGGAAAAATTCCAAATTTTCAAATACATCCCAAATTCGAATTTGAATCATATTTTGACTTTTAAATTAAATTCAAAGTTAAAAAAAAACTTCTGAAAATAATTTAAATTTCAATGGATAAATTTCAGATGTCTCATTTTAACTTGTACAAATTTATTGTTAATTGGACCTAAAACGATATCTTCGTCCACGATTAATATTTTTTTTCAAAATTATGACTTAAATTCATCTTTTTGATTGCACAAATTCATCTTTTTGATTGCACAATATTTTCGAAATTCAGCCACAATTATATTTGGCATAAATTTCGAAAAGTGGCATTTGTAGAACCAAAAAATTTGGACAATCATAAACGGCCACGTCATTATCTATTTTATTTAGGAATTAATTATATATTAACTCTAAATTAGAATTAAAGATAATTTGACAAGTAAAATATGTAATTAGGTCATATGAGTATTGTTGTTGGAATCGATTTGGTTCACAAACTTGACCCAAAACCTAATTTACCATGAAATAAAGTGGATTAGTATTTAAATTTAAATAAATCCATTTAAAGAATTGGGCTTGGCCCAAAATTACCCAAGCCCAATGGCCCACCAAAGCTATGGAAACCTCTGTAAATAGAGGGGATCTCATTCATTTTAGAGATTCAGATTTTTCAGAATTGAGAGAATTCAAATCAAATTGAAGACTCTAAGACTTGAAGATTCGAAGACCAACTTGAAAAGACTTGAAAACTTTCGAAGAACATATAACTTCGATCCAAAGAACAAGCATCTCAATCTTCACAGCAAGTTCGAGAGAAAGAATAAGAGGATAAAAGATTAGAGATTGAATCCACTATACAACACATACTTCAAATATAAAAGTTCAACTCCACGAAAGATAATTTCTCCGGAAATCTCGTGTGAACAATTTCAATAGATACGAATTTAGTATTTGTAGTGTGGTTGAAAAATATATTCATCCCTATACTTCCATTAATAACGATTAGTCTTATGAATTTTAATAGATAAGAATTTAGTTTTGTAGTTTACAATTTTACAACCTTTAATATAGTTTAAAAGTTATAATAATTTTTGAAAAAAAAAATTATAATAATTTAGTTCCTATCTTTTTTATAACTCATAAAGTTAAAGTATCAAATACATAAAAGGTAATTTTCAAATATTTAAAAATTTAGTACAAAATAGTTAAACTGTACCTTTGGTCGTTATACTTTCAATAAAATCATATATTTATTTTTGAACTAATATTTAATAAATTAGGTACGTTTGATGGCCAGTTTGTTTTTGTTTTTTTTTTAAGCTAAGTTTATAAAAACTAACAAAATAGTTTTTGAAGTTTTGTTTTATTTATTTTTAATTTATTTGCATTCAAATGTGTTTTAAATAAAGGTGAAAACATATCAAACGAATTATAAAAAAAAAGTATAATATTTAAAAAATATAGATAAAAAGCAAAATGGTTATCACATGGGAGCTTAGTCCTTTTAGTTTAACAAAAACCATATATGTTTGATAATTATTTTTTGTTTTTTATTTTTAAAAAATAGAAAACCAAACATGTTTGATAATCAATTTTTATTTTCTATTTTCTAGAAAGTTAGAGAGTTGGAAGAGATATGCTGGAGAAAGACTAGTCTATGTAGAGTAGAGATTACAAAGGGGTGGTGCAGAAGTTGGGAATGTCCTTTCCATCTTCATCCTGACAAAAACTTTTAGTTCTTGATTCCCACCCAATTCTACAATTTTGGGATCAAGGCCAGGTTGAGGAATCGTTATTTGGAGATGGAGATCTTAGAGGAAGAATTACCAGTTTAGTAATTAAATTCAATTATTTTGAGAATTTAAAAAAGAAAAAAGAGTAATAAATATATGTAAATTATTATTTACTAGTACAAATAATTAATATAATTTAATAAATAGTTAATAAAATCTATATTAATTAAAAAGGAATCGTGATCTTTGTCCTCCATAATGCAGAGACATGAAAATAAAAGTTTGGAGGGATAAAAAAGAAAGTTTTTAAAGAGAAATTTTAGAGATAAAAGAAAAAAATTTAGATAAAGAAAAGTTAGAGAAAATAATAGTTAGAGAAAAGTTAAAAGTGAAAATTTAGAAAAAGAGAGTAAAATTGAGAACAAAAGACATGTCAGAGAAAGAAAGAAAAATTATAATGAGAAAACAAATGAGAGTAAAAAGGTTTAAGATATATTCATTACTTTGTTAGAGAAAAAAAATAAAAATAGAAAAACGAGTTAAAAAAATTGAAAGGGAAAATATTTAGAGAGAGAAAAGTTGGAAATATATTTGATAAAAAAATATTAGAAAGGGAAAGAAAAATTATAAACCAAATTTGAGAGAAAGAAGATTAAGAAAATATTAAATCTAAAAGAAAAAATGAGAATAATATGATAGGAAAAAAAATACATTTAAGGAAAATTTTAGAAAGAGATAAATTGCAGTAAATATTTAGAGAGAGATAAATCTTTCGAGAGAGAAATTTTTCGAAAGAGAAATTTAGGCAGAAAAACTGTTATAATAATAAATAAATTTTTAAAGAAAAATATGTCAAATAAAAAAAAGTTGAGAAGAAATGAGATTTGAAAAATAAAATTATTTTTTTTAAATTAATTCATTCTAAGATGTTTTGAAAAATATGTTTTTCAAATCCCAAAATTAAAAAATAGAAACAAAAAGATTATTGAACGACGGCTTAGTATTTCAAGTTTTTACGATATGTATTTTTTTTTATCGAAACAAACAACTAAAAAGCTATTAAGGCTAAAGAGTTTTGTTTGTCAGTTGCCGCCAACCTACATAACCAGATGGGAAAATCCGATCGCCACAAAAAGCCACGACGAAGAGAAATAGCCTCTCTCGCAAGATGATGCGCAGCTGCATTTGATTCTCTGAAAGCATGCTGGAAACAAATTTCTTGAAAGCTCTAACATCTTCTACCCAACTTGCAGCTTTTCCCTTCCATGGTTATTTGTCCCCAATTAAATTTAGGGCTTCAAGTGAATCCGACTCCACCATGACTCGATGGACCCCCAACCTTGTTGCCAGCCTCAAACCTTCCCTGATTGCCAAAATTTCAGTCAGTAGAGGAGTCTTCACCACATGAAAATCAATCATGGCCGCCACAATCTCCGCATTTCCGTCACGAAGCAGAACACCAACACCCGATCCCTCTGTCGACACAGCCGCATCCGTGTTCATCTTCACCACACACCCCAGGGGAGGAGGCCTCCATGCATTCACTCGAGGAATTCTTCTCTTCATTCCATTATGGTATTTCATCTAACTTCTTCAACATATTTTAAAATCCATTCAACCTTAATTGGAGCTTCCGGGATCTTCTTCTTGTTGATCAAGGCGTTGTGATCATTCCATAGGGCCCAACACGTGATTTCGGCTAACCTTAGATTAGAAGCTGATAAATTCTTCATCCAGTACGACCATCTCTCCAGATAGCAGTCATTAAAAAGGCTCCCAAGCTCTGCCTCGGGAAGAACCGCACGCCAAATCTGCTTCACCTGCAGGCACCGAACCAACGCGTGATCACCTCGGACAAATTGGTATCACCTCCATCCCTTTCTTCTGTAGATTTTTAAGCACAGGGATGATATTATGGCACACTTTCCACATAATCACTTGAATTTTAGGTGGCATCTGGATTTTCCAAAACTTCCTCCACAAAACTTCATTGTTACTGTTACTTGTTGAATGCATCATTAGCTTATGTCTCATTTCTGAGTACATCCCATTCTTATTAAAGTGCCATGCCCATCGATCCTCCACCCACGTACAACTAATAGGGATGTTAGTGTTCACCTCCACATCCGCATCACAAACAGCCCCCTTGAGCTTTAGAATATCTCATTGTTTTGAGGGGTTATAAAATCAGCCACCCTCTCCTGCATCTCAGGAACAGGATTTGGGGAAAACAGTCTGAACGTGGACTCCCTCGGTAGCCACGGATCCCTATAAAAATCAATTGTTTCACGTGTCCCAACCACCTTCCTCTACCCTAGATTTAAAAGATCTCTGCACCAAATTATTCCTTGCCAAAAATAAGAACCTTGGGAACCAATGTCAGCATCCATCAGGGAGCCCTCGCCAGCCAGCATAAAGATCCTTGATGACCCGAGACACCAATAGTTTTGGTTGATGGACCAATCTCCATAATTGTTTTGCCAAAAGAGCCTTGTTAAACACCTCTAAATCTCGAAAATTCAATCCCCAAGCTCCTTGGGCCAGCACATCTTATCCCAACTCAATTATTTTAAGTCTTTCTTGACCATTCTTCTATGATCTCAGGATATTTTTCATTCGGATGCGGTATCGGTTCATTCATGTACCCCTTCTCTCTACCCGAGTAGAGGGAGAGGTTCCACTCTAATACCATTCTGTAACGCCCAGGTCCAAGATTCAGAATACAAAAAGTTCTTAGCTTAAGTACAACTAATTTACAAATAATATTGAATAAGTTAGCTAATTTGGAGGAGAATCATAACTAGAGGAGGTTATAACAATTAATCTAATAAGAGAAATATCAAGTTTTCAGAAATTTAGAGAGAAAAATTTTAGAGTTTAGAAATAAATTTGTTAAAAAAATGTCAAAGAAAAGAAAAAAAAATTAAACTTAGAAAAACATAAATATATTTTTAAAACCTTTTTTTCAATTTACTTAGAATTTTAAAAAATAGAAAATATAAAATTGAATCTATTATCAAGTAAGCAAAATTTTCAAACGCCGTAAACTAAAATTAGAAAATTGAAAACAAAATGTTTTGATACTAAAAAACAAAATGGTTATCAAACGACCTTTGATCTTTCAACTTCAATTTAGTCTCTATACTTCAGAATTTATAACAATTTAGTTTCAATCGCTAA